ACATTTACAATCTGCATCACTCAGTGAACCAGTATTTTTGAGATGACCAACACATGATGTTTTCATATCAGACCGGAATGCAAAATTCATTCAAAGTGTAAGGTAGATCAGTGGATTATTATATAATAGAATGTGGACACTTAATTGATATGGTTTCAGATTCTCCATTGCAACTAACCTTTAAGAAACTAATACTTGTCAAGTTCTTGTGTCATATCAAAGAAGAATAACCACAATTATATGGAAAGGCTAATAAAATACTCCTCCCTTTTCCAAATACATGTCTGTCTGATTTTTCTTTCTGTACTTAAAGCAAAACAACTTAATGGCAGAAGCAGATATGATAACCCAACTATCTTCTATTAAGTTAGATATTAGAGATTTGCAAAAATTTAAATCAATGTCACTTCTTTCTTTTTTGTTATTTTGGAAAATATAGTTATCTTCATAAAAATATTTATGCTCACATGTAGCAGGCTTATTTTTAATGAGTCAATAAATAGTTATTTTTTCTGTTTTAATTTCTGACATGGTAAATATCAATAGATATAACCCATAAAAACAAAAGCACTTTGAGGTCTTCAATAATTTTTAACATCGTAAAGGATTCCTGAGACTAAAAAGATTAAGAATTACTTTTCTGGAAGAGACAGATAGAGATAGTTCTACTTGTGGAAGTCATACTCACGAAACGACTCCTTTTTTTGTCATCCTCCTGGTCACGTGATATTGATTAGGAGAAAGGAAAGTCTTTGGTTGTCTTCATTTATTTGCCCTTGTCAGTAAAACTGAGTGAAAACTTTGAGTCTGGTTATTAGGATTAATGTCGTTTGGTTTGCTTTGTAGTCGTCTGTGTGTCCTAGCAATTCATTTACTCTACTATTTAAAAAATTGATAGGCTGCCTCTTATCAGCTATACAAATAATGTGCAATTCCATTTGTTTGCCAACAACTAAAAACTTGAAAAACAAAACAGATGGGAAAATATACATCTAGACTTGTAGCTTCTTGAGTTTAATCAATAGGTGTTGGGTGGTGGGGGGGAATGGTATAGATGATAGAGGCTCTGTTCATTCCCCTGGCGACCAAATCAGAAACAAGGAGCAAACAGCAAGGAAAAATCATCT